TCTTGTGGGGGAAATAGGGAGATATTGTCAAAGGATACAAAGTTTAATTTAGATGTCAGGAATAAATTCTAGAGTTTTGTTGTGCAACAGGGTAACTATAGTTGATAACAATGTATTTTTTTGTGCCTTACCTTTACCCTCTTGGCTTGGCGCATGCTAGGCAAGTACTCTGCCACTGAACTATGCCCTTAGCCTTTGTATTGTATTTTGAAAATTGCTGAATAGATTTTAAGTTTCTCATCACACATACACACACATAAAAAAAAAAAAAAAGAAAAATTTTTATCAGGTTGACTGAGCCATTCTACAATATACAAATATTTCAAAGCATACTATATATGATAAATATATACTATTCTTGTGAATTAAAAATGCTGTAATCTAAGAAACAATAATTACCATCAACTATTATGTGATAGGTATGCATTCAGTATTCATTGAGAAGCCACTCAATGACGAACTATTGTGATTTCAGAAGCACTGAAATTTGGTTTTCTTTTTCTTTTTTTGTTTGGTACCAGGGATTGTACCCAGGGGCACTTAACCACTGAGCCACATCCCCAGCCCTTTTTAATATTTTATTAGAGACAGGGTCTCACTGAGTTGTTGAGGCCAGGTTTGAACTCGTGCTCATCCTGCCTCAGCCTCCCAAGTTGCTGAGATTACAGGCATGTGCCACCATACCCAGAGTGGTCTTCTCAATTACAGTAGCATTTACTATACTTTGAAGATATTTGACCTCTCTTCAGTCTGTATTTAGAACATTACAGAAAGTGGTCTTTAGAAAGCAGGATGTGCTGGCTGATTCAGACTTGGCAAAAACTCCCATGTGCAAGTTATTATTTTTAGTTATAATTACATAGGCCTATATGTTATAATATTCATTTTAAATGGCATTCTGTCAACAGCAAGTGATTATTTGAAACTATTTTCTCAATGTGCTTATTAGGACTTTTCTCTTTCATCTCTATGGTCTAGGAAAAGATAGTTTATTTAGAAACTACATTTACAAGCTGGATGTGGTGGTACATACCTGTAATCCCAGCGACTGGGGAGGCTAAGGCAGAAGGAGCACAAGCCTCAGCAACTTAGTGAGACTTTGTCTCAAAATAAAAAATTGAAAAGGGCTGGGATATAGCTCAGTAGTAAAGTGCCCCTGGGTTCAATCC